GATGAAAAAAACTTCCTAGAATGTTTAAAGGTACTTCAAATCTATGTTGGAAATGTGGAAAACATGAAAGGTCATTTTATCGTGCTTGGTGGACTTGCAAAAAAGCTAGAAATTTTGTGTTCAGATACAAACAGTAATACAAAGAATTTTAAAGACTAATATTCAGCTGAAACCAGAGCTTTTCTTGCTGGGACTAATGGGCAGACAACTAGAAAGGGGTCAAGAATGATTGTTTTTGTATATGGTAATCGCAGTGAGATTATTATATGCACAAAAATGGGAAGACACTGAAATACCTATAAGGGAGGAATGGTTGGTGAAGATGACAGAATTTGCAGAGATAGAAAAATTGACTTATTTGATTAGAGAAAATATCATAACTACATTTGTTAGTAACTGGAAACCCTTTATGGATGTTTTCTGAAAACAGCAACACCAACAACAATAACAACATGAGCTTGTGTTTTATGGGTTTGATTATTAGAAAGGGTAGAATATGGAAAGAATGGAACTGTAACATAATCTTAGAGAGAGAGGACAGAATACAAATGCATTTATAACTGCTGTAAAGAAGATTGGAAGCCCCCCCTTTTTTTCCTTGTTTGTTTTCTTTCATTTGTTTATTACTTATTCACCAATTTTCTCTTACTTTACTTTCTTCTGTCTTTAAATATGTATTGTTTTTACTTTGTAAAAAAAATAGAAGGAGGAGGAGGAGGAGGAGGAGGAGGACTTCTTATGGTATCCAAGAAGGACTCTGCTTGGGAACCCAAAAGAAATATTAGCAGTCATTATTAGTGCTACCAGGCAAATAACATAGTTATTTATTTCATTTATTTCATTTATTTATTTATTTACTTATTTTTGACACCTCACTCCCCAACAGTCATCCCTGTTCTGAGAGGTCACATTTACTACTGACTGTTTCAAATAAAAAATGAAACAAATGGAGGGTCCTTCCATTTCAAGGGTATAACTGATTTTTTGTCATATGTATGTATGTGTGTGTGTGTATGTATATGGGTGTGTGTGTGTGTGTATGTGTGTGTGTGTGTATATATGTGTGTGTGTGTGTGACAAAATAGACACACACACACATATGTGTGTGTACACATACATGTACACACACATACACACACACACACTGTTTACAAGACGTGATCCATGTAGCAGCTACTTTGTTTCACTGGGTAATGGGCTTCTGCATATATGCGATGACACTGAAGCAAATGTTTATAACTGAAGCAGATTATTCCTGCCTCAGCTATTATTGGGGTTCAGCCACATGCTTCCATGGGGTTCTTTTTCATTTCAAAGTGGATTGTCACACAATTGTCAAATGAAAACTCTCAGTGAGGTGGAGCTCATCCAACTTGAACAAGATTGCATGGTAGCAATTTTGAAAGGCCCAAGTTGTGAGTTTGTCTTATGCATTCAGAAACAAAAACAAAAAACAAACAAATCAACAAACATAAAAACAGAGAAGTACCAATGTCATATTCTGCTTGTAATGTTCTTGGATCCAACTGAATGCTACAAAAAACAGAAAGCTGAACTAGATGGACCTTGGTCTCATCCCACCATTTTTTCCTTCTCAATAATTACCACCATATTTTATATAAAGTAAACTGCAAGGACAATTTTGAGAACTTTATTTTGGAAAAACTCTTCTATGACTTTGTGGCTGCTTTAAATTATGGTCTCTTCATCATTTCAAATTCAGCACCTTTGGCATCTATATTATCACTGAGTCATAATTCCCCATGCCTTAGATAGGATTTATGTTCTGATTCAAAATAATAAAAATTGTGTATTATTCTTATTATACCAAGTATCCACTAGGCTCATCCACAGCATATTCTTCTGTCAAAAGATGGAAAGGAAAGGAAAGGAAAGGAAAGGAAAGGAAAGGAAAGGAAAGGAAAGGAAAGGAAAGGAAAGGAAAGGAAAGGAAAGGAAAGGAAAGGAAAGGAAAGGAAAGGAAAGGAAAGGAAAGGACTTTGCTGCACTCATTAGGAGATAACAATTTTTCCCATCAACAGTAAATTCCCATTTGGATTTTATAATTCCCCTTTCTACAAGCATATTGAATTCCCAAGGAAGCACTGTTGTTGAAAACTGTATTAAAACAGAAGTCTTCTCTTTAACATACATAATAACTCAATATTAATATAAAAATACAGAGTTGATAGTTACTTTAAATGCAGCTTAGTTTCTAGTCACTTATATCCACTATGTTCTGTTTAAAATGTAATAAAGTTTTGCTTATTTACAGGAAATCAAAAATTTAATTGGATTTATTAATTCATTTGCAACAACTGGCTATTAAATATCTCTTGTAAGGAAGGAAAAGGCATAATAAGTAAAATGTAAATAAGCTTATTAAGTAAAAATGTGATTTTCTCAGCCTACTTTCCTAGTGTAAAAATATGTTGAAGTTACCAGAGGAGAAACAAAAACCCCTTACAACATAAACAAAATATGAGTTCTGTTTATTAACTTGGTATTCTTGAGGATGGCTTTATTTATTTATTTATTTATTTATTTATT